TCCGTCCGTCCGTCCGTCCATCCGTCCGTCCGTCCGTCCGTCCGTCCGTCCATCCGTCCGTCCGTCCGTCCGTCCGTCCGTCCATCCGTCCGTCCGTCCATCCGTCCATCCGTCCATCCGTCCATCCGTCCATCCATCCATCCATCCATCCATCCATCCATCTATCTATCTATACAAATTATCGGGAAAAGGGAGTGAGGGTGAAAAGTTACCAAACTCTGACAATGTGGCTGCCACGATAATTATAGAATTCGTCAGTTTCCCAAATGTGGTTCGGCTTACCTTCAGCTTTAGCTGTGTCTGTTGAGAAATTAATGATTGAAATATAATACAGATAAATAACTTGAACACAATTCTAGACTACATTTGGTCTACTTGTTTATTACGCCGCGGTTTACTTTATGACTATGCCTTGGCCTAATTTATAACTATACTGTGTCTACTTTGGGACTCCGCTAAGGTCAACTTTATGACTACGCCGTCCTTTACTTTATGTCTCCGCTGTGGACTACTCAATGGCATCCTTTATGAATACGCCGTGGGCCACTTTATTACACCATTGTGGGCTACTTAATGACTACGCTGTTGTGTACTTTATGGCTATGCTGGGTTTACTTTGTTACTACGCTGTGGTCAATTTTATGACTACGCTGTGGCCTACTTTATGCCTACAATGTGGCCTAATTATGCCTACGCTGTGGCCTACTTTATGACTCAATGAGAGAGCTACTTTGGCCAACTTTGTGTACAGAAAAAAACGTGGAAAAAAACTTGGAAAATACTTAAGTTCTGTAGCCCCCCCCCACCCTTTTTACACAAAACACAGATGCAGGGGCGTCTATCCCCTTATTGGGGGGGGGAGTCCAAACCCCCCCCCCCCCCACTCTTTCCCTCTGCACATTAACAATTCTGCACGGCATTGGCATTATATTTTATTCGAGAGTTTACTACGAATATTTTTAAGCATACATTAACAGTTCGAAAAAAAAAAGTTGACTATTCGATAAACCTAATGATAACAAATGATCACAATTTCGCTAATAGCCAATATTATAATAACTCTTCACACTTTCCCGGCGAATCTCATTATCATATACAGTGATTTTTTTTCCAAAATGAATATCAGGAGATCTACAACTATTATTTTGTTTCTTTGCTTAGAAAATTAAACTTCCGTTCGGTGGCTCGATGGCTGTGCGGTCAATAATGTGTCCATGGCAAAATTTTCGGATTAAAATACAATCCCCAGCAAATCCCCAGCAAAGCCCCAGAAAATCCCCAGAATTAAATTTTTTTTCTTCTTCGTTTACGTATTAATTTTGTTCCCTTGACAAATCCTTAAAGGCAAAAAAAGTAGGAAAGGCGTTATTTTATCCCCCACCCCCCACTCCAATTGGAAGTGGGTGTTGCCTTCCCCCCCCCTTTCCTCTGTGTAGACGCCCATGCCATAGACATACACATATGAATGTTATGTTATCTGTAAATCAAAGTTGATCAAATAAATTGAACACTGGCCAGTCCTGGTGCTCACCTTCTTTAATCTGCCACATGACCCTCTTAGCGTCGGGCACGATGCTCTTGTCGCCAGTGTTTCCTAATTCTTCCACCTTCTTCTTTACTATTCCGAAACACTGAGGTGTTCAGGGGAGTCAGAAAAAAGTTAACAACTTAAACAAACAACAATGATTTATACTACACATAGATTTATAATACATTTGAATTTA